TATGTTTACATCTGGATCTCAATTGTGATGACATCAACCTGCTTTTAAGATATTTATTCAATGTACAATACTTTTCCGTAACATAAGTGGTGGCTAAAGAAGCTAGAGTGAACGATGAATGACGTTTTAATCACTCGTTTCTAACAAGGATGAATCTGAAATTCGCGAAGCAGATAATGCGATTGTAAGAGTACATTAGACGAGAACTTATTATAAAGTGAATTACGGACGAGAAGAGGAGGTGAATTTGGCAAGGGAGTGAGGGAATATTTTCTTACGCACATTCTTTATTAATTTGTAATATTTTATAAATTTAATTTAATATCATTAAATACGTTCAATTTAAAAATATGTAATTAAATTATTAAATAATTCTCCTATCATTAAATCTAGTATCGTCGTTGTGTATCTCCGGCTTAAAACCGTTAGCATCAGCTATATATCTGACACTGTGATGTTGCCCTGAAGGGTCCTGATATCCGTATTCCCCACGAATCGTTAGAATATTTTTCCCTGCTTCATTAATGATACCAGCCTCTTCTTTTCTATAGGTACCATCTGATGTTACAAATCTGAAAAATGAAGCAATTTTAAAAATAGCTCTTATTGACTTGGTGAGACAATAAAAACAAAAAAAAACGGAGTGGAAAAAGGGAATTTGTTTTATTTATACAGTACGAGATCTATGCAGCCGTTCTGGGCATACCATACAATCATCCATCCATCCATACATCTAAATAATCGCATATATAATATCAGCAAGATAACCAGGGATACAAAAGACCTAGACACTGATTGTCTCAGGTTTCTTACAGTTTATCATCATCATCAGCTCACTATATGTCCCCACCGAGGGGCTCGGAGCCTACCCTAAGTTAAGGGTGATTAGGCCATAGTCAACCACGCTGGCCCAGTGCGGGTTGGTTGACTTCACGCATATCTTTGAATTTCGTCTCAGATATGTGCAGGTTGCATCACGATGTTTTCCTTCACCGTAAGAACGTCGGATAAATGTACATATGTAAATCGGAAATTGAAAAACACATTGTTACTTGGCGGGATTCGAACCCAGGACCTGCAGATTGCAAGTCAAGTGCTTGACCCCTGAGCCACCGACGCATTCTTCTTACAGTTATGGCAATTCAAACCTTTGGCTCTGAATCAATTGGGTAATTTGAAACCAAGGAGCTTAATCTATAAATTCTTATTAAAATATACTTTCCCGTACTTACTCGAAACTATAAGTTCCCAAGCCGTTGTTACTATACGCGTATTTAATTATTTGTTTAGGTTCATCAATCGCTGAAGGCATGCTCTCCACTGTTGCTAATAATACTGCTACAAAGCAGATGCGTCCAATAAAGACCTGCGCACCATACAAACCACATGTCAAGGATAACAAGTCGATGGACAAGCCACATTTTACTGGAATTTCATCAATAGAGGCTCATATAACAGGCATTAATATACCTTTTTTTGTATAAAATCAAACTAAATAACCATAACTCACGAATTTATCGTCTTTTCAAGTTCGCAACAACAACACTTATTTAATCTGACATATTCCTTGATATAAATTATTATGAAACGCGCACCCGGATGCTTTGAATGTTTTGCAAAAGATGATAAATTTTAGCAAAGAAGCAATAGAAGTGCTTGGTCGTGCCAAAATGAAATCCGTAATCTTTGTCTATCCCTTTAGAATACGGGACTTTATGTTACATTGCATTATATTTACTTCTTTCTTTTCGCCTTTTTTTGAGTTATTCTACTTTTTTTTGTAAAACAAAATTAGGAGCAATACAAATAAAATGTTGACAGTAAGGTGTAGAAAAACGTAGGAAATCATAGCTAAAGTAAAGAAGATCGTGAGGATGTTTCTATGCGGATATGCTTGTCTTTTGTAAGATAATTCGTTTTATTACAATGATGCAATAATGGTGATATAATATAAATACTTGTCGACATTTTGTTTTTCTGTCGCCCACGTTTTTCAACTCTACTTGTCTTTTTTTGTTGATATGTAGAATACAAGGTGTTTCCTTGTATTCCACTTATGACGGATAACTTACCAAACCAAACTAGAACTTTGAGCTATTTGAAAATACTCATCATGTACTTCGACATTTTACTCAAAGATGTTTTAAAATAGAGATAGAATAAAAACCCTTGGACTCAGAGAGTTCTATTTAGCGTAATCACGTGTCATTTCTAAAACATTTATATGAAATCATGATGGGAAGCTTTTACGTGTACTCTATACTGTGCTTCCCCTATACGAGTATCGCTAATTAAAGGCTTAAAGTAATCGTCAAGTCTCCGTTGACAACATAAACTGACAACTGACAATTTGTGACGAAAATAACTGTGATAGCATTGCCTCTTTCACTGGGCCAGATATCCTTGTTTGAATAAAATTCAACAATGTCCCAAATGTTACTTGTGTGACACATATTACATCCCTCACATTCTCCTGTGAAAAACAAAGACAACAATAGGTTTCAATACAAGTTCACTGCAGTCGAAACCCACAACGTAGTGAAGAAGAATGATAAATAATGACACTTAACTTACCATATTAATTAATATTTTTCTAGTTGTGATGTATTAGAGAACTGCGGTTGAGGCCTGGTGCTGTCACCTTATATCGAGTTCTTCATGAATGACAAGTCTGGACCTCATTCCTTAGCAAACAGTGCGCCGCCAAGGACTCAAACAAGTCAATGACACTATGATATAAACCCAAACGAGAAAAAGTATTTTTTTAACTCGATTGACGACTAAACCTAATTAATATTCTCGAGACCATTAATTTAGATCGTTATTCGTCTGGTTTGTGCCAGTTCTATGGAAACATACGTCTTAAACCAAGAAGATATTATTATATCGAACCGAGCTAGCAGTTTGTGTGGTACAATATCTTTAGATATAAAATAAAGTTCTGTAAAGAACGTGATCTTATTATTATAAATTTACACTAGTAAGGTGTAGAATATTACTAATATTTTGTAAATATATGATATGCGCATATTAAGAAAACCATATTTAATTAACCAACATAGACTAAGTTAAAGTTAAAAATAACACATAATTATATACAAATAATAATAGTAAGTTTTGCAAATTCTCAGATTGTAAAGAATTAGCATTTATTGTAATGTGGATTTTATTAACAACTGACTCCGTCTGGGCGGAATTAAAAAAAGATAGTGTGTAGCCTATGTGTTCTACGTCTGTGCAAAATTTGCTAAAGATCCGTTGTGCCGTTTCAGAGATACCTTCAAACAAACATCCATCCATCCATTCATTAAAATTTTCGCATTTATAATATTCGTAAGATTTGTATTGTAACAATTGTAGTTAGTAGTTTAGTCAGTAAAATTTATTATTTTTGAATTAGTACCAAGATATATTTTTAATTATATTAATAATATGCGATTAAAGTTGGATCTTCTGTAGAATGTCACATGTTGCGCGCGTGTTTACCTATACCGAATGTTATTTCATTTGATTTTCCTTTATTGATCTTCGTTTGCGAATCATCCTAAAGGTCACGGTCAAGTTTCCTATTAGAGCTACATATAACTTAGTCTCGTCGTGTAGCTTTCCATACTTAGCTTTTTTATTGTTACGTATATTTATTTATAGCTATAATTTATTTAAATAAATTTTAAATTACTAGATTCAAGCGAAAACCAATCATTTTATTATTTAATTAAAAGGTCATTCTAGGTTATAACAATAGTCAGGACAAATGGCCTAAATTATATTCAATTACTTATTTTAAATACTAGGCGCGCTAATATGCACTCTACAATAGATTATTGAATTTATTAACATATTATTTCAGGAATAAATAAAAATATAGTTAAGTTATAGGTAGGGTGCATAACTTGAAAGATTTTTATTAGGCACGGGGGGCCTTCACAACTCTTTTTGTTGTCCGTTTTTTTTATCATTCATTTCATCCACACGGTCTTTACAATCATCTATTATTACATTTTCGCCATTGCTTACCGTGTTTTGTAATAAAAAAAAATCGTTGGCTAAATACCATAGACTTATCTTACTAATATTATAAATGCGAATGTTCAGATGGATGAATATTGATTTGAAGGTATCTCCAGAAAGGCGGAACGATTCTCGCTGAAATTAAGCATATATATAGAAAATTGTCTGGAAGATCACATAGGCTACAAATTATCTTTTTTTTTTATTCCGCGCGGCCGGAGTCGCGGGCTACATTTAGTTATTTTTATTTTTAATTGTATCATAACTAGATACATGTTCCGGAAGTAATTCGAATTTGTTTAATGACCATGGCGGCTGATACTATATGCAGATAACGTATTGTAATCAACACCGTCATATGACAGTATTGTAGTAATGACAGTTCTAGGAAACATATCCCCGCAGTACTGTCCAACGTTTAGTATGCGGATACGATAACTACCTTTATACACTAATGAAACATTATTTTTTTTATCACCTTTTTTATCTCTTTTTATGCAAAACTACTACATAAGTATTATATAACTTAATAGCCCCTCTAGTCCGACGCCTACTTCACTGTTTTTCACCATATAATTCCCAACAACAAATACAATGAATTATGATGAATGTGCTTAAGTATATTGTTTTGAATGTGACGTTTCTCGTTTAAAAATGTGGATTAAACTAGATTAATGTAGATTTCTACATAAGTAACAATTTAAAATGGAGGTTCATATTATCTGTTGTATATAATTATCGTATGCATATTTCGGATGGTTTCTTCTATCAAACATTGCCTTGTCTGATTTGTCAAATAAAATAGTTTTAACCATGGTTTTCTTAAATTGTGGTAAAAAACGCCCCAATTATTCACTTTGATGTCGCCGCACATAAGAAGGGTAAGAAAGCATACTTTATTAAAAACAGATTTATTTGCATTCAAGAATCTTTTAAAAATTGTAGACATAAAGAAAAAATATCTGTATCTATATTATAATATTGCGTTTTCGGAAACTCGTTTATATTGTTTTTTTTTCTTGTATACTATTAGATACTATTTTATCGAAGATATTCATGACATCGTTCATTTCCCCAATAGAGATGCGACCAAATTTTCTGAAATTCTTAACTGCAATGGAAGATATCAATTTAAATTTTATAAAAACACAACCAATGACTAAGGTCACACTAGGTTAAGTTCAAGATAAAATGCAAAATTCAATTGTGCTGTTTGAAAAAAGTTATCAATTTAAAAAAAAAAAAGATTCGTTCGCTATGTAATAAATGGTCTATAGTATTAAGTATTAAAAATAAATATTTTATACTACTGGACAGTTACAAACTCTTAGCTTTGTAGTGTATCCTTTAGCTTTGCCGAGTTAGATTTTAAAGCTTCATTATTACTGATTAACATGGGCTATATTTATAACTAGCGCAGCTTTTTTTTAAAAGCAGTTTTGTTTAAACATTTAAATAGCATTTGGAAGTATTAAGATGGAGATTGAATTAAAATATTTACCCCTCCAGCAATTGGGTCTACAATGACAAAACCATTCGTGTCAGCTTTATAATGAACTGAATGTAATACTCCTTCTGTGTCATTATACGAATAAAATCCTTGAACTACGACGTGTTCGTCCATTTGACCAATATTGATACGTCGCCCTGTTTCTTCCCTTAATATACCGTTTGATGTTTCAAACCTAGAAATAATTTTAAACATAATTACATACTTTATAATGTTATGCTTTTGAAAGGATTAAATGTGGCATTATAATTATTATTATATATCTATTCATTTATTTTTCTTATTTCACATATAATATAATACATTTTATGATAAAAATGAGCACTACTGATTGCGGAATTCTATGACTCAAGCAACCAGCGGATACGCGCGGTTTCTAGTATAACCGACCTTTGTATCGAGCCCTTAATCCAACTGTTTAGCTAGAGCTTCTTAAAATATGGTTCGAAGCTCTTTGTTATCAGTCCATTCTTATTATTATTATATAGGTTTTTACTTTGTTATAAACAGGACATATTAAAACAAGATTTAAAAATTAATGATTCTTAACATTAAGCACTGTTATTCACATAGGTAAAAAATAAAAAAAATACCTGAATTTGTAATTACCAAGGCCAATATTTTCATTTTTATATTCTACAATCTTTGCTTCTGCATCCGAAAGGTTTCTAGCGCCAATGCAATATACAGATAAAGTTAAAACAAGTAAAATTAGATACATTTCAACTAATATAATGTAAAAAATTGTTTACTATAAAAATATCACAAACACAACTTGGACGCTCGAAGTGTACGATCAGCATAATTCCGTAATTTCATGACCATAGGCTTTATAGGCTTAACCATATAAATAGCAATTTATGTGTGTAGCAAAATGAGCTAAAATCGTGATATCCCTTTTGGCCTTTTGGCAAGGTAATCACGTTGTATGCCGGTTAGACCTGTTATAGGCTTGTGATGAGAATTATTGCAATATTATATTTTACAAAACAGTAATTTTACAGACTAAAGTTGATTACACGAGGTAACTATGTCCTTTAAGTGGCAAACGAGCAAACAGCCACTTGAATTACCCAAAATAGCGAAGTGTCCGCTACTTACTCTGCTAGCACAGCGACCCAAAGTGGGTGTTGTCCTCCGACACAAGAGATCGTACTTCTAGACTGCTACTAGACACGCGCAATTGCAGATACGTTGTCTTTAATCGATAAAGGAGGAGATGCACACAAAAAGGGAATTTTTCTTCATAACAAAAGAGTGGGAAGGGCAAAGGAAAGGAAAAATTAGGCCTCCGGCGATACAACAAAAATTTATAAATTATAATAAGCGAGAGAACAAAGAAATTCCATAAAAGCTTATCATTCATTCATTTCCTAAATATCTGCAAATAGTTTAAAATACATTCGAAAAAGTTATCGACACCTTTATATAACGTTTTTATACGGGTTATCAGGAAAAGATGCGTAAAACGGTGTACCACAGATTTCTGGGTCGAAAACATGATGATTTAACACAATTTAATAGATTTTATATATTGAAATCATGGTTTTTGTTTGAACTACAACTACTTTTAGTCGCACACCGACAATAAATTAATTATAAGAAGAGCCGAGGATGTTTTTTTAGGATAGCAATGTGTTTATTACATATGCACTATATTTGGTCATCTTCAATGACGAACTATAGTTTTGAATTTCCCGGTTTAGTATACGCGGTTAATGTAGGTGGCTCGATTCATTTTTATTCTCCCCCTACAAGTGGGTAGTTTTATATCCCTCACAGCTACCGTCGGGCGCGGGGCATGGGGGGCCTGCGGGGCCGACGGAAGTAAAACTGAAAGAGTTGCACATCGGACGTGTCGGTCGGTCATATTCTAGCGTATAGTGTCGATAAGTTTACGGTTCCGCGTTCGATATTTATAACGACGCGGCTATAGCGCGCTTACAGGAAGCGGTGTATCGGGTGTATTGGGTACCTTTTAGACTATTTGACTGTGACATAACTGTGATTTAACTCTAATGACCACGACAAGGTGACCAGGCACCTGCAGGCAATAAATGAGACATCGAGTTGGTAAGTGCCACAACAACTATTTACAATATTTCGCCAACCTCTGCAGTAGTCTAACGTTAGTTGTGCCATTAGACTTGAACCCGTCGTGTAAGGCACACAATCCAATGGTGAGGAAAACTGCAAGCCTCAAGTAGGTAGAGCCAGCGCCAAGGGTGGGTTGTTACCTGTCATCTGTCCAATTTTTGGTACATTAAAATGTACGATCGCTAGTATTCTAGCGATCTTTTAAAACATTACAAGTATGTTTCTTTTTTCAAAATATTATATTATAGAATACATTAAAAAAGCTTATTTTTCAATTTTTTGAGTAAAATTTGACAGAAGTTACCTAGATTACAGTTCACAGAGTACTTTGTTTATAAAATTGGGTGTTTTTGGTATATCTGTGGTATATTTAGTGCTACTTTCCACTCTTGATCATACTGATATCTATAGTCAGCAAAAGGCAGTTAGTCTCCCCATTAGTTCGAATACTTATCATAGAACTTGAGAATGTATGTACGTACACTTACCTAGTTCTTTGGGTGGCCGTCTGCTGCACTATATTTAATACTAAGTAGAAAGCATTTAATTATCTTACTAAAATTATAAATGCGAATGTTTAGATGGATGGATGAAGTGATGGATGGATGTTTGTTTGAAGGTTTCTCGAAACGACTCAACGGATCTCGATGAAATTTGGTATACATATAGAATATAGTCTAGAAAAACACATAGGCTACAAATTATTTTTTTAATTCGCTGGCGTCAGCTAGTTCGACTGTAAATCGACTATCTTTTCTCTTATTATCCTATTTGCACTATGCGGCTGTCCGCATGCGACTGGCCGCGTGTTGGACATGTGATTTAACAGCGATAGCGCTTCTGGAGGGTGATTATAAGATAAGTATAAAAATATTGGTTTATTATTTATACCATTAAGTGCTAATATAAAACTTGGTATTTAAAATTATTAGTTTACTTTGAGTTGATTAAGTTGGTGTTGTGTAGTGTCTAATCGTTTATTTGCCCAACAATGACGCAACAACAGAATCTGGGACTCCGGGTATCGGTTCCAGAAAGACCTGAAAAATAAAAATAATTGCTTATACTCGTTATACTGCCAGATTACAGACGATTAATTTTGTGTTTGTTCATTTTTTTTGGAATTATGTTTATTTTTGCTTTATTGATGATTGTGGCCATATTGAAAGAGACCTTGTCTACAGTTATTTACTTAAATTCTACTTATATAGAAATAATAGCTTACATCATCAATTCGTGGTCGAGATGTTGTACTCGTTTTGTAACCATTAGTATCAGCTTTGTAATACACTGTTTGTAAGACTCCATCGACGTCCTTATATGAATAAAATCCTTCGACAGCAATATGCTCGTCAGGCTGTCCGGAATTAATAAGTCGTGCACTTTCTTGTCTTGTTATACCGTTCGATGTTATATATCTAGAAACAAAATAATCTTACTATAAAAATATTATAAATGCGAATCTTTAGATGGATGTTTGAAGGCGGCTCCATGGATATAACTGAAATTTGGCATAGATGTGGAACAGAGTCTGGAAGTACACATAGGCTACTAGTTAAGTTCTTTTTGATTCCTAGTGATCGGAATCGCGGGCGGCAGCTAGTCATGTAATAATCTTATCTAGACAATATTGTACTTAGTAAGGCAATAAAGACGGAGAAAAAGTTTTTTTTACACACGTAATGTGTAATAATACCATATTATATTGTCAGTCTTCTCTTAAAATCAGCTACATTTATTTTACACAAAAGATAAATAATAGCTACTTTTCAGTAGGAGTGTTTTTTCTGGAATATTATTCTTATCAAGTTTTTTCTTACCTAAAAAAGTAGTTTCCGAGCCCATCGTTATCATTTTTGTATTCCACAATCTTCGCTTCTGTGTCCGAAGGAATAGTTGCTTCAATACTAAGTATTAACAAATTTACTAACAGAACGACTCTATACATCTTTAAATTTACAATTTAAATAGCGCAAAATTGAGGAAGATTCTTAGTTATTAAAAAAGTTTATAAAACACAACTTGATTCTGCGCAGGATACTGACTACATAATTTGTATACACGAATATGTTAGACTATTTATGTAGGCCATATTAATACCAGTTTGAAATGTATGTTAATAAATTAAATTTAAACCGTGCAGTTTCTTAGAGATAACCATTTTGATGCACGATGAATTTGTTATAACCTTGCGATATTTTAAATCATTGCATACAATTCCTACGAAAAAAAAAATATCTTTATTGTGCGCGTTTCACTATTATTTACAATACAATTTATTGGTAATATTTAAATTACGGGTCATAACATAAGTTCACGATTTTAAAAAAATGTTTTTCACTCAAAGAAGCAATGATTTTATTGACTATTTTTAAATGACGCGAAGCCGGGTGCCGATGTGACGTGGTCCAGCCGGCGGTTGTAGACGGCAGGCCAAATGATATGCGTCGACATTGTATTTATTATTACCATCTTTACAATCGACAGTAAATTTCTATATGTATGACTCTGTTCGCGTGCATAATGCGTTTATTGTGTTAGTTTATGCATCCATTGTCCTATTTCTTCTCACATTAATCTGTTAAGGGTTTCGTAATTATAATAAAGCTCCATGACATTTATTACAATTGATTCGCATCGTTGTAACAGACGTTGAGAAAGAAAAAACAGACTAATATAAACAATACGATGTCTAAACTTAAGTACCTTAAAACTTTAGCATTGATATTCTGATTACTACCAAAACTTACTTTCATCCCCCCGGATGATGGTTTGTAAGTTTTACACTTACAATTTTTTTCTTTACATTAATTACTTCAAAATAGACGAAACACTTTTAAGTTCGAATAATAAAGCTTACTTTGGAATTTGCGCGTCGCTCCCAAGTTACCTAAAACATTTAAGTGAACTTGTTCTTCATTTTAACGTGGTTATTTATACTGTTAAGTCAGCGAACTGTTAAATGTAAGGGCAAGTATGACGCACATTTGTGCTATAATCGTGTATAACCAGACTGCGGCATTTTAAAACTTCCTGATTTTTTACTCCTGTCCTATAACTTTCGCTTTTCGCTCTACATAGTTAGTTATAAATGTTGTCGTACAATGACCACTACCAACGAATGTAAATATATACATCTTAATCATAAATATCGGTAAAATAAAAGAGCAGGTTTGTTATCTTTTTATTCATTCGACCAACATTAAAAAATAACAAAATGTTTACACGTAAAGCGCATAAAGGAAGTAATTTAACATATGCGTGGATTCGTTCTTGTTTCACAATATGTAAATTATTTTAGTTTCAAGAAAAACCTTAAGTAATTCTTTCTTTATTAACTGCTCGAATTAAGTTCCGGACTTTTATTTGTTTGTATGACGCTGATCTAATACCTATAAAGGTTTTCGGTTTGCAAAACACGAAATTAAACATTACTGGTTACAATTTTATTTCTTTTTTTTTCATGATCTCTTACCTAATTGTTGAGATTATTTTAATATAGAAAATATTATAATTAACCGCAAAACATATTAAATTTATATTGGAAGCTATTTGGGGTCAAGTTCATAAAAAGTACACACATTGACATAAAAAGTTAAGGAAAATAAAAACTTAACAGTAACATCTGCTATTACATCCGTATGCATTTTTTTTTTCATATAAATGTAAAAGACTAGCTGTCGCCCACTATTCCGTCCTCGTGGACTTAATTAGTAGCCAAGAAGAAAACTTAATAAGTAGCCTATGTTTTCATCCAGACTATGTTCTACATCTATGCCAAATTTCAGCAAGATCCGCTTAGCCGTCCTGTAGATAACTTCAAATAAATATCCATCCATCTATCTATCCATCCATCCAAACATTCGCACCTATAATAAATTAATATATGATATAAGTAAGATTCTACTTAAATGCATACTAAATCTTTCGGTCATAGTATTTCTTTTCTGAACACTACTTAATTACTCAGTGTATCACAATCGATTTTGATGTGAATTGTTTTGCAATTTGTATAACTTTTTGTTTTACATAATACGACATTTGACGTCTGTAAAGAACGAAGCGTATTGTTTAACATCGATGCAAAATTAGCCACTCATTCTGGCAATCAATTGATTTATGATGCGTTTTAAAATGGAGAAATATTTGATCACGACACGATCATTATGTAAGATTACGAATGACACTCCGGGGCCAGAGGTAATCAGAATTACTCTTAAAGGTCCCAGCGTTGCATTGGCTTATATAATATCAACGTCCAATCCTTACTAACATTCAAGTCCCAAGCTCTATCTGTCTGTCTGACTGTCACGCTTTCACGCCAAAACTACAGTATCGATTTAAACGTAATTTGGTACACAGATAGTCTAGACCCTTCTTTTTCCAGAGAGGAATGCTTTATGCATACTCCGCGCCCGGGGGTGGGCGACGCGGTAGTTATGTGGGATCCTCCTCCATAGCGGAGGCGTACCCACTTACCTCTCTGTTCCTCCACGCATCGGGACGGGGTCACGGATACGCTTTCGCTCTCGTCCGCGACCCAGATAGTCTAGAGCCTGAGAAAGGGCACAGGTTACTTTTTAACCCTAAAAAATCGTTGTAAAAGGTTGAAAGTGGGCGTGGAATTGTATAAAGAGGAAGTCATTTTAACAATAAGAAGCTTGAAAATTATTATTCAGGCTCTTGATATGATATAAATAATTAAATGTTTTGAAAGTTTTACCCTTTATGGTGCAAAATAACAATATGGAAAAAGGGTTGAAAGTTTGTATGAAAATATGTAAATTTTTTGTAAGTTCAATATGTTTTGTTGTAATGTTTTACAAGTTTAAGTTAAATAATTAGCCTAAATGAAGTATTCAACGCAAACAAAGTAACGGACAAAGCTAGTCAAAAATAACTACAAAATATATTCATAATACAATACAATACAATATCTATTGTTATTCGTACCGGAGTATTGACTACTACCCTTCAACGATTAAATATTCAATTTTCGAAGTCTAACGACTGTCTTTTCCTCAAACCTGTTTAAGTGATATTTAATTGAAACTTTGATAGCATGTTGATGACGTCAGAGAAGATTTTAGACTATTTTTTATTTTACCTTTGACATTCCTATTATTTTTTTATAGTTAAAGCTGCCAAATGATCATGCGGCCTTAGGATTCGGGCAAAGCGAAATGACTATTGTGCATAGACAGAGGCATTTGCATATGCTTTGCCTAACTTTATTCGATAGAGAAAGGAGAGCAAAGAAAGAAAAAATATCCTCATCCCTTCATCCATTTGTTAGTAAAAAAAGTAGGAAGGGGAATATGACTAAAATTTGGCGTCCGGAATAGAATATAAAGGTCATAGGTCTCTTAATATTTTAAATCATATAAGCGAATAAAAAATCATCTTAATAGGGAAATATAAAAAGAAAAAATAACGTATCTCATAATTGCATATACATACAGCGTGTCCCAAAATTGATAGATAAAACAGTACTGGTGAATAGCCAGATCAATAACTACATGGCGAAATATACACATTATAAATTCATTTAAACAAAAAGAGATGTTTTTTTTAGTATTTTTCCCCATGTAGTTATCGATCTGGCTATACACCAGTACCGTTTTATCTTTGAAATTTGGGACACGCTGTATATTATATATACCTAAATATCAAAGTTTGCCTAACCTTGACCTTAACCCACATCATATACAAAATAACTCTTTTAAAATACTGAATCCGATTTTAAATATTCAAAGTCTTACTATTTATAATAATCAGGAGAAATCACATTATAGTAATCATAAGTATAACTGTAGGCATGTGTTTTTAATTAAAATATTTTGGTTACAACAGAGATAAAACAATCCACAACTCTATTACTAATAATAAAACAATCATGCAAAAAACGGTTGAGAAGTTTAATCAAAGTAATTTTCCTTTCTCCAAATTTACTGGTCGATGACAGTCTTTGTGCTATAACTACCTAGCAATCCTAGATCAATGCCTTCTGGGCCTTAGACTCAATCCGCTTATGATGTCCCAATATGCATTCATTAATATAAATAAACTCCATCTTACGGGATAGCTATAAAAAACATTTTATGGTATGAAATTCATATTGAATGTTTGTTTGGTTAGATCTCATTTCGTATCATGTTAAAAGATGGCGCTTTATTGCTTATGTTTGAAATTTTGCTGATTGCCATCTCTGTTCACGTTATACTTAAGAGATGGCGTTGTGTACTATGTCTGAACATCGGCAAACGTTAATGGTATACAGATTGACTAAGTTATCTGACTGAAAAGGATGTAAAATAATAAATAATAAATATCTGCAAGCAATTTAAACTAAAATCGAAAAAAGTAGTTCGTCTCATATTTATTTTCCCCCCTCAAGTGGGTAGTTTTATATCCCTCTTGCTTGGGCTCGCGGGGGCTTGTGCGAGGAAGGCAGTGAGTCGAGGAATACTTGGGGGATAGCATTGGGAGTCGACGGAAGTAAAAAGGAAATAGTTGCACATCAGACTTGTCGGTATTCTAGCGTACAGGATAGATAAGTTTACGGTTCCGTTTGAAACGTATTTTCAAAGATAATAATAGGGATGACGATAACATTTCGTCCATGATGTAGATTTGTTCATCAAAAACCAAAGGTAAGTTTTATATGTCTGTCAAACACTGAACCTCTATAAATTGACTATACGAAGTAGTATTTTGTGCATTTTGGATTTTCGAAAATAGAACGCTGATGGTAGCCGTTCGTAATAGTGTTGTGTATTCGAACATATATAATATATAGTATTAACTGTTAACTTTACATCATGATAAATTAACATCAACGGGCGTGTTAAAATTGTAACGTAGTAAGAGGAGTCACTTGCAAAAAATCGCCTCGTTAATCCTTACTAATATTATAAATGCGAAAGAAACTAGGATGCGAAAGGACATAGGTTACTTTTTAATGCGCAAAAGGGGGTTGGAAATTTGTATCGAACTAACGTCATTTTTACAGATAGAAGCTTGAAACTTATTTTTTCTGTTGTTATTTT